TAGTCAAACAATAAGGTGATCAAATCACATATCCAAATAAAATGTCAGAGTTATCATCTCCAAGAAGCATACGCCAAGCAACTACTAGATCAAGTTAAACTGCTCTTCTGAATTTAATTGGTTCAACATTTCTAATGACGGCATAAAAAGCAACAAATTAAATAGGATTCGAAATATTCATAAATAATTCATTAGTTAAATCAAACATAGCTACATAGTATGTCATGTTTTATGACCCCCCAAGTTAATTATGAATTACTCTAGCTAACTAAATAATTTTAAAAACTAATAAGATCCCATCTCACTATCAAACCAAGGGCTAAAATCCAATGAGAAGTTGCTTAAATTAATATTTCAGTTTCGTATTCAAAGAAAAAGTAGGGTATTTTTTAAAAATAAAAATAATTTTCTTGCAAGATATTAGGGTAAGCAACAGGTTGTCTTGAATATACAAAGAGAAAACCTGACACCATTAAAATCTCTCAACAATAAGTCTATCTTTACGAATTAGGTATTGAATAATTAGCTAACTGAATAAGGCCTTTCAACATATATATAAAAATTAAGAAGTGGTTAATTTGACTTTTCTGTTTGTTAATGTTAATTAGTTTGTCCATATTATGAGAATCGTATATATCAACAAAGAAAGTTATGCTAAATAAATGAAAAAAAATAATAGTTATCCCTTCTAGAAAGAGTCATTGCAATTTTTTTTTTCTCCTCCATCCTCATCCTTGTGTTGATATTCGGATTGGCCCTGATTAATTCAAATTCACGCTATGTAGATCTATTTGAGAAAAAAATATTTCCAAACATTTTTTTTTTATACTTGTGACTCAAATTCGAAATCACTAACTAAGGTTGGATGTTCATCCCACCACAGGCCTTTTTTATTTTTATTTATAAATTTTAATTTATATAATTAGTGTATAATTTATGTATGTTCATTATATACCGATACTACATTTAATATACAGTTGTTATAGAGTCGTTTTACATTTGAGTATGCTCGGATAATAATAATTATAAATGGTTACGACTAAGGGGTAGAAAACTTTTTAGATAGTCACCTAGATTTTTTTGAAAATTGAATTATTATATCATATAAGTCTTTGCATGCATATTAAAATTTTCATTTAGGATGGAAAATATTTTCTCAGAAAATAAATGAATTTCTTATTTATATTTTAATATTTGGTATATAAGTAAAAATATAATATCTTAAGATTGTATTTATAAGTGAGCTAACAAAACATTACGATGATTTCTTGTGGGATGGAAGTATTATATACTTTCATAAAAAGATTAATTAAGATAAATGTGATTAAAAGTGTTGCCTAAATATATTCTCACTTATTTAACTCTCAATCGTCACTTTTTGCTTTTGAAGAATTTATAATATATAGTTTTTGGTAATTAAAAATGAAAAACATATTTAAATCCTTTTAATCCTCACCTACTCTCTTTAAATGGACACATACTACACTTTAAATTATTGCAACAAATTCTATATGTAATTAGCCCCTTTATCTTCTTTCAAAAAGATTGACTTATCTACGTGTTGAAGTTTTTAAACGCGATTTCCACCAACTAGGAATTTTTAATTTTTCAAAAGATTATAGAGAATGATAAATCCACTAATTATTTGACTTGTGGAGTTCTAAATTAATGCCAAATTAGGGTACCCCCTTTTTTAGTGGGGTTTACTCGTATAGTAGATACAAGTATAGAACCTTCTCTTTAGAGTCTTCATCTCAATGGCCAAATCATTAATTTGTTATACGAAATTTGTCTTATAATTAAGTGCCACTCCCTTTCTTCCTATGGTGTTCACATTAGCACTTTAGTTAATTAGTTCCAATAATCCCATCATTCTAATTTTTCACATTCAACAATTGTGTCTTTTTTGGAAGAAGGATTTTAGTTATGAGTGAAAAGCTTCCTAATTAACGTGATAACATATATGTAATATGTTGTTGTATAAAGTACTTAACCATTGATTCTTGATAGACTGGTTCATACAATAATAATATTTGAGCTCATTTTTGTGAAAGAAATATTATATTGATCATTTGGATGCAATAATTCATTCTTTTGTCGAGAAAAAAAAAATACTCTAGTAATTAAAATCCTTCAACGCGTTTTTTTTTCGGTTGCCATGACATACATATACATGATACATTACATCACAAATCACAATTAATATAAATAGTGCAATATATTAATTTATGGAGTTGAAAAGCAACACATGTGTTGCGATAAATAGAATTTACAAGAGGACATTATTGTTTTAGGTTCCATGAGAATATGATGGATTTGAGAAAAAGGTTGGACCTACTCTTTCCCCCCTTTGTGTTTTTATTTTATTTTATCCAATGCTCATTATTATTTTTAACGTAATAATTCATGTTTAAAAGTTTTATATTTGTCAATGAATACACACATGATACATGTTTACTTTAGCTTTTGTTAAAAGGGAATTAAAGTATGAAATATATCCTCCCATGAATTTGATGTCTGACTAAAGATCAAATAAAATGGCCTCGAAAAAAGTTAGTATTAATTTAGCGGTTTTGATAATAATTTTAATTTTTTTTATTATCTAGTTATTGATTCTTAACAGTTTGAGATTTTTTCAGAAATAATCCATTAATTAATAAATTAATTATATTTATACAGTTGGTACATAAAGTTTTTGACTTATGATTTAGTTTCATATTTGTTGCAGAACTTTCGGTTATTCTAGATTGTGCTAGTGTTTGTTTTTGAGTAAGATGCAATCTGTCAACTCAGGTGCGCGCATGGTTCATTTTGTTTGTCACCATGTTTCTAAGTGATTTTAAATTATTATTTTTTTGTCAAACTTAACGGTTCAACCGATAATCGAACTGATAACGTGATCAATAACCAATAAAACAGTAACCAATAAGCCAATGTCTTAATAGTTCTATAACGGTTTAGCATGTCTACAAACAATAACTGATAAATTTCAAAAGACTAATTGAACCGACCAGAACGCAAGTATATTATTTAAAAATAAAATAAAATGTCTTGAGTACTAAAGTATTTTACCTACGTAATTAAAGTTTGTCATTTAAGCTAAGCTAGTTTTAATATGTTAATTATATATGTGCAAATATTTATATCTTTTCCTTTAGTCAAACAATAAGGTGATCAAATCCCTTATTCCCCCTCCCCAAAAAAAAATAGGGGGGGGGGGGGGGGGAAAGGAATGTCAATGTTATCACCTCCAAGAACAACATGACAATTAACTCCCAAGGGAATTGTTAAACTACTCTTGTGAATTTTATTTTTTGTTCAAAGTTTCTAATGACCATAATAGAACGAAACTTAGATTGGAAAAAGATCATAATTAAGATGACTCATAATTCTATAAATTATGTCACCTTTTGTGACCCTTTGTAGTTAGTATCCACAAGGACAATAATCCAAATTAATTAGTACACCTTATGAATTATTTCACCTGAGAAAGTACTATAAAACTACAAGTTCCCAACTCTATAACAAACCAATGGCCAGATCTATATATATATATCAAAGAAAAAGTAAGGAGCTTTTTAAAAACCAAATTCCATAGATTAGGGCAGCAGGTTTCTTGAATAAATAAGTAGGAAACTAATTATACATATACTCAAAATTGAACAACTCTTATCTTTAGGAATTTAAGTAGCAATACCTTAATTAATAACTAAGCTATAACAAGCTAGGCCCATGAACAGATTAAAAAGGATTTGTTTATGTGACTTACATATTTGTTTATGTTAATTAAGTTGTCCACATATTGATTGAATCGTATCAAGAAATAAATAAACTACCAAGGAAAAGAAATAATATTCGATCTGATTAAGTGATTAAACAAATTATAAGCAACAATAATTTATTATTCCCTACTGGAAAGTGTGGTTAGCAAAGCTTGGTACAAATCAATTGATGTATAAAGGGGTTGAAGAATCAAGTATATTTAATTCCTCATGCGATTATGCTGGATTTTTACCAAATCTTAATTTAAATAGGATTTCTTGATTAACTTAATTCATTGTCAACACCATGATGTTATTGACATTTTGTAGTCTACGAGCCTTAGAAAACATTGAGCCCAAATTTGAAATTCTGTTGTTCCAGCTACGCATTTGTTTGATTTGATCTATCATAACTTACAAAATCTAGCAACTACTTTTATACAAGTGACTGTAAATAATATGAGATCCTATTTCATCCTTCAACGTTCGTCATCCGTGCATTATGGTAAATAATATGAGATCCTATTCATCCTTCAACGTTTCGTCATCCGTGCATTAAGCTCTTGCTATATGAGGTCTAAAAAGCATTGGATTACATTTGGGCCAAGTGTGTCATCCTCCTTACCAAATATTGAAATCTTTTCCTCTCTTTGTGACACTCTCTAGTGGGCCTAAAATGAATATGCTAGGAGGCCCTATTTTGGAAACCCAACGGTGATTGTCCAAACCTTAGCAGGCCAAGAAATTGGGCTACTGATGTACTTGTTAGTCAGAAATTTGCTCCCTAAAATTTCACTAGGGGTAGGTTATTAAGAACGTTATAAATTTTGTTCTCAATCTCTATAAGTAATGCAAATACATAAATTTCTGATTAAGAATGAAGAAGTACTTACTTTCCTATTACTATTACCATTGTTGGTAACAAAGTGTCTTTTACTTTATTATGTACTTGTATCGTATGATATAATTCATCCTTTCATTCAATTTTAATTGCTTGATAACTCTTTTCTCCGATAAGAGATAATTTTATTTTTTTTAAAGAATTCAAAGCTGACAAAGATGTTAGGTTTGAGAAATAACTCAACAAAATATGATTATATTCACTTTGTGACATCTTAATCTGTTTTTGAGTTCGATTAAGTGAAAAGATATTTTCAAAAAAAGAAAAGAAAAAAAGAACACGAAGAAAGTAAAAAATGAAAAAATATAAGGGCCTCGAGTGAAAAGATATTTATTTCTAAAGAGCATAGAGGCTAATAAGAAAATCCAAGCCAAATCCCCTTATCACTTCATTTTCCCCTCTTACAGTTGCCATGGCAGCTCTCAATCTTCCTTCTTTTTCCAAAACCTTAAACCCTAATTCTCAATTCCAAAACCTCCCTAAAACCCCAACTTTTCTTCTTTCTCTTTCCTACCCTTTTCTCACAACCTCTCTCTCTTCAATTCCACCAGCAAAAAGTTCAAGATTCCCAGTTGTAAGAGCCATTTCTGATGGGGAATACTCTTCAAAGAGGAGCAGTAACAGTGATGAAAGGGAAACTATTATGTTACCTGGATGTGATTATAACCACTGGCTTATTGTCATGGAGTTCCCTAAAGACCCTGCTCCTACTAGAGAACAGATGATTGATACTTATCTTGACACTCTTGCCACCGTTCTTGGAAGGTTAGTTTCGTAATGTATTGTTATTTCTTGTTTTTATGGGCTTTAATTTGGGGTGGGGATTGGGGGGTTTGAGTATTGCTATGAAAGTTTTCATGTTGGCAACTAGTTACTGAAGATATATGATTCTGAATATGTTTGATAATTTTCCTTAGTGATTGTATTCCTAGTTGTGTTCTTTATGGTGATAGTTAGTTACAGAATTATTACTTGTAAACTGTGAACAAAGATGATATCTTTAGGCATAGATTGTCCAAATTGTGGACTTCAAGATAGTCCATCCCAAGAACTTGAAGATTAATCTTATGCTAGTGAGTAAATCCAGTTACTACTGTGAAAGTACCATTGATTAAGAGGGTGGCGGAGTTGTTGTTATTGACAAAGTAGGTACTGATAAAATTTTGGTAGGGATTTGTAACTATATTGCTTTAGCAGGATAGACTATTTTCTTATTAACCAGCAGAGTTTTTGTTGGCTTATTAATCTAAATTTTCTTATCAGTATGGAAGAGGCAAAGAAGAACATGTATGCCTTTAGTACTACCACTTACACTGGTTTTCAGTGCACTGTATCTGAAGAAACATCAGAGAAGTTTAAGGGTGAGTTCCTATTTCAACATATGAGATGCTGTACATCCAGTGTGGTGGCATTGACTCGTTCGTTTTTCTATTTGATATTCATTCTGTAGGTCTACCTGGAGTTCTGTGGGTCCTGCCTGATTCTTATATAGATGTGAAGAACAAGGACTATGGAGGTTAGAAATTTCTTCCTTTGAGCTCAGTTTCACTTGTGATTCTACAGCGAGATAACCTCTATGTGGTTTCTTCTTTCAGGAGATAAGTACATCAATGGAGAAATAATTCCTTGTCAGTATCCTACTTACCAACCCAAGCAGGCTAACAGAACAAGAAGCAAGAGTAAAGCATATGTAAGAAGAAGAGATGGTCCTCCGCCTGAACGAACAAGACAAGCAGCAGCTCCCGAGTCTTCCTCCTAAAACTATAATGGTGCATTTTGTAAGTGCCTTAGTCTTTTTCTTGACACTCACTAAAGAAACATAGAACTCGCAGTTTTATCTCATTTGTTGTGGTTGGCATAAAATCAACCTTATGCAGCTGAATGAATTGAAATTTATTCTGTAGGAAAACCATACCCTATTCCACTGTTTATTTAGTTAAGCCTAATAAGTTCATTCTGTTGCTAATCTTCTATCTTTTTTGCCAGGGGTTTATCTGATCTTAGAGTCGACTTGCCATTTGGAAATGCCAATATATCATTCATAGTCTCATATTGGTGAGCAATTCAACAAAGATATGTTGATGCTTAAAGGTTAGATGGAAATACACTGCTAGTCTAGGAGTTTGGTAGAATGCATTTATTGTTTTATCTTTCCTCTAGACTAGCTTTCTGGTTGCATTATTGAGAATGAGGAAGAAAGCTGTGTCCGTATGTAATTTTGATCGTTACCAGGTTATTCTATGTTCAAAGCCTGAATATGTACGTGATGACTCATTATAATTTTCTGCTGGTTCATATATCTTGATGTTTGCTATGCTTACAAATTATATCACGCAGATGATAGAAAGATGCACCTTCTTGGAAGGAAATTTACTTCTTAAAGTGAATGTAAATGTTGAATGAAGAAACTTAAATGGGAGGAAATGTAGCTGAAACCTAAGAAATTATGTTTGCAGCGTTGTTACTTGCTAGTGAACTGCATGATGTCATTTACAGTAATTACAAAAGGAGCAACATAATGTTGTTCCTTTTGAGTTGCCCCTTCGAATTGCTTGGTTCACAAAACTTTTTGGGCAATGGCGCTAGCCTGCAAGGGTTGGTGTAGCCTGTGTGTTAAGTTGGCTAGCTTTTGAAGTTCTTTTGCTTGTTGATGCAAGTTAATTATACTCCGACAAGGCACTGTATGAAGTTCCATTTATATATTGAGCTCTACTAATGGTACAATTTCTGTAATTGAACTATGGTTCTGCAAAATCCCTTGTCAGTGAGACAGGGCTTTAAGCTAGATGTGACTCTATATGTGCCTTGGTCTACAATACATGATTTAAAATATATGTTGAAGAGGAAGGTGTGATATTGTCCTCTTTTGTTCTTCCAACATAAATAATTTAAAGTGCGTTTAACCAAACATCATGCAGTGTGCTCTTACAACCTTGTTGAAGTAGTCATATTGAACATATGTCATATACTTGGAAGATTTTCTTCTAATATCTAAAAAATAGCAAACAAAAGACTCTTCATATTCTTATGGAGTATTACTTACATATACCCATTTCAGATATGCAACTCGAGCCAAGTCCCATTTACATAGGTTCCAAAATATCACAGCAGCAAGGGGAAGCGACTTTTTATTAAAATCTTGATTGAGATGTTGAAATTTCATGAGGGTCCACACTCCACCATGCTTCCACAACAGGGAAATCTAGATATTTTTTCCCTCAACCACCTTTCCCATGGAGCTATGGTTGATCTTTCTTTGTCAGAAAATTAAACAGTACACATATAAAAGATTTTCTATCAATGTATATACAGTACTTAGATACTAAATTCACTTAGCTTTTCCATGTTTACCTGCTATTATGATTCTCAACTGCTCTTACTGAAAAATGCAGTTGTTTATATGTTAACGTACAATAGTAAGTGATAAGAGTTTTAGGTTTATTTTACAGATCTTTTAAAAGTAAGTAACAACAACAGTTGATATACACGTATTAACTACTACACATACAGACACAATACGTGCCCGTAAAGTAATCGGTGCAACTCAACGTGGCACTCTATATTACTCCACTCAGCCAGTAGCATTTTCAGGAAGGTGAGATGAGCCATCAATTTCATCAATCATGACGTGCTTGTCTAAGTGCATAACAATCACACACTTCTCTTTTCTATATGTTCTTATCAGCTTACACTATTATACCATCATCCCAACCAACCACTTTACACTCCCATGTTCTTTTTTTCTATATCCATTTAGCATATTGCTGAATTTATAACCGAGAATTACACATCTGATAGAAAATTGAAGGTTCGTTAGATGGCTTTCTATGGCTACAATGATGATGCTGGTGAGTACCATTGGACTCCTAATTTCAATGTCTCTTATGATTATGATGCTTTTCCAATATCATATTCTTCCTATGAGCAAAGTACTAATTACAATTACTACTATACTACTCAAATACATCCAGAATTGAGTTACTCTGTACACAACTCTGTTGAGCCAAAACTTATCCAATATGAAAAGGGTGCTGATTCATTGGAGACAAGAACCATAGTTTCTTGTTATACCAAAGAACAGGATGACTCTCAGTTTGATGAATATGATCCAACCCCTTATGGTGGTGGTTTTGATATGGCTCAAATCTATGGAAAACCCCTTCCCCCCTCAAATGGAATATGTTATCCTCGTTCGAGTCCCAAGTCTAATGGACTTCCATTAGATGGTTTCGACTATGGATCAAATAATTCGCCCTATGTAAGCCACACCAATCAGCTAGAACAACCTCAGATTCAAAACAAAGAGAATGGTGTTAAAGATGAGCAAAAATCTTTATCTGGTGTGAAAGAAAAAACCAGTCTTGAAAAACCTGCTCAACAAGATGAAGATTTTGTAGTTGGTAATGGAAAAACAGGGGAAAAACCCATTCTTGAAAAAACAGTGGAACAAGATGAAGATTTTGCAGTTGGAAATGGGAGTATAGGGGAATATGGATATGATTATGGGAGGCAATTGCAACAAATTCCGTATGGTTCAGATTTGGAATCTATGGATTTATGTGAAAGCTTATTTGGTTACTGGCCTTGCATAGCTAAGGAAAACAAGAGAAGAAATTGTAACTGTGTAAATGTTGCTGAAGATAACAGCAGTAGCAGCAATGAACAATGGAAATGTACTGCAGATTATCTTTTTGGGAATCCTTATGGATATGGTGGTGATGGAAGAGATTGGGATTGTGTTTTTAGCAATCAAAGTTACTATTATCATCAGCAACAACTTTAATTTTATGAAGGATTGGTAAAAAAATACCTTATCCTTCAAATAATAAAATGATTTTTAAAATATGAATCTTGTCATAGTTTCCTTTTTTCCTTTTAGTCATTATCATTAGTGCAACTGTTAATTTTGTGGAATTACACCTTTGATTTTTTTGTTGTGTGTTTTTGGCTCCTTAATTCTCTTTATATGTTATATTTACATTATTTTTGAAATTATATGTTACCCTCAAAATATGGATTAACAATATAAGTTTGACGAATAATTAAATGAATTAACAATAATAAATCATTATGTTTGAGAAGATCCGCAAATAGAAAGATTAGAAGTGCACATTTCAAATTTAAAGTTAAAAATTAAAATTAAATTTTGTTGATATTAGAGGGACCAAGAGTGCAAATCTTCCTTCAGGTGATTTATCTAAATATCTTAAAACTCTGAACTGAAAGGAGAAATCCTTTAAAGAAACTTCTGAGCAGACATGAGAATAATTAATATGAGACGTTAATGGGACCCAAAAAAAGGGTGAAAATAATATGATATATAAAGCATTTCATGTTCAAGTTTCAATATTTTCATTTAGGGGTTTGAAAAATAAAAATATAATTTGCGCACCATTTGCAGTCCTAGTTGCAGGGTCCAATATCACTAAGCTATTTCTCTTCTTTGATTGAGATGGTTCAAAATTAGTATATATATAAAAATATTAAAAATCTACCTTATATATACAATATAATTTTTTATTTAGGGTGTCAAATGAATTTCTTAGCACCCACGTAGGTCCGCTCTGTTCACGTAGAATCGAAAAGGACAAAAGACCATAAAATATAAAATAAATCTATATGGAGTGGTCTGAGAGCTGGAGCTCATAAGTTCACATCTTTACATAATTCAACTTTCGTGGAGCTACGTGTAATTAACAATTTTTTAAAACTCTAACCAAATAAAGGTGACTTTAGAAAATAAGTATTAATACATTGTCCGGCTATAATCAAAATGTAGTTTGGGTTTGGATAATATATGGTTTAAAATGGAAGAAAGAAAAAGAGTAGGGTAACTTGCATTGTTTGTCTCTGAATTATTAATAAATTTTAATTTTGATCCTATAATATTTGAATAAGCACATTAAACTCCAATTACCTAATATATGTGATTTTGTCCCTTCATATAGAAAATATATATTTTTAGGCTATATAACAATTCAAATTTAACGTACTGATAATTGGACAGTTTTGCACTTAATAATTCGTTAGATTTGTAAAGATTCCGAGTAAGAAATATAAAAATGCGCTTATCAAATAATTGACGATTAAATATGCTTAAAAAATTCTTAAGGTCCAAATCAAGATTAGTTGATATTTGAAGGGCTAACCATGTGAAATAAATTTCGCTTTAAAATCATAAAGAGTGTTTGAAGTTATTAAGTTAACATGAAAAAGGAATATTGAGTAGTTGAGGTGTCTGAACAGAGATTTCAGTTTAAAAAGTTAAAAATGAGAGAAAAAAACTATTATTTCAGTGGAACTTTTCAAATAATTTTTTCAATCCTTCGGTAATTTTAAGCACTGAAGTTCAATATTTGTAAAATATTGTAATAGTAAAATCAACATTTAAAATATCGAATTCAATTCAATAAATATTGAAATATTTCATTATGGTCAAACAGGGGGCCATTTAATTAATGATTTTGCCTGAAAATGCAAACCTTATTTTGGTTTTTTTTTTCTTTGGTATTGGAAGGATTTTATTTATTTAATAGTAGGCTCATCCATATAAAAAAGAACTGATCTAAACAATATAATTCCATTGCATCTCCTTGGATAATTGTACTGCATGGTTAGCTGACTAGCCAATTAGTCTACCACTTAAAGTTCATAGCAAAAATATTTTCGAAAAAAAGGAATAACAAATATTCTAATACATGTGTAGACAATAAAATTCGCGTCGAGAAAATAATAATCAAGAACGGAAAATTATATCAACAATCGTATTTATTATTTCAAAGTGCGAGTGTTACAATCTCTATGATTCCTCTGAATTCGCCTTTTCAAATATGATTCAAGGGCTTTAAAGCTTGATTTTGAATCTTTGATGAATTTGAACTTTGAACTTTATCTTGATCTTGACTTTTGCTTGAATTCAAGGGCTTCGAGCTTGTTCTTGAACCTGATAGTCTTGATCTTGATCGTTCTTGAACTTAAATGCTTGAATTCTTAAACTTGTAGCTTTATAGAGAATTTTATGGCGTTTGTACCATGCATTTTCTCTAGCTTCTTGTTTAGAATTTTCTTCTGTCCTCTCTTCTGAATTATGAGGACCCCTATTTATAGTTTTAGAATAGAGGAGTTGCGATTGGAACATGATTCCCTTCGACCAATCAGATTTAAGTGACATGTCATATGGGCTTTATGGAGCGGGCTTGTCATCTTTGACACATGTCATGATTCTATTGGCTTATTTGTCTGACTTGGCATGCCACGTCATTTGCCATGTGGCACCAAAAGAATGGGCCTCTAGGATAAGATGACATTGGACTTAGCAAATTGGGCTCATCTATAGCCCAAATCAATTAATTTTTATTTTAATTAAATTCATATTTATTGGACTTGAATAATTAGCCCAAGTATATTAATCCATAATATTTATTTGGACTAATATATTTATGAATTTAATATAATTCGAATCATTTTATAAATTTATATTTAATAAATTTTAAATGATTACAACATGAAACAAAGGTTATTTTTGAAAAACAAGAACAATAATTTAACATTCACCTAACTTTTATTTTCTTCACATATTCATATTCAACGATTTAATTAAAAAGGGCATATTTTATCATGATTCAATATTCTTTCAATAACTCCGCGCATGTGTGAGCTCACTTATATATATACACATCGGTTCAAAATCAAACAAAGAAGGAGAGTTGTCTAGAGTTAATACATGAATAATATTACATAAATTTTACGCTTTTCAGACCACACTCATTTACATTAAATTTATTGTTGCTTATTTGATTTGTTCGCAATATTCTTTGAACGTGAAGCAAGCTCTTTGATCAACAATCTTACGAAAAGATCCATTAACATGTAAGAATCTAAATATAATCATAATGAAGATAAATATTGTAACGAGTTTACCCTTAATTAGTTCGATAAGCTCTATTTTATTATAGAACCTGAAGGCTAGGATAAACCTTCTTCAAAGAAGTAAATACATATTAAGAATAAGATTTTTTTTTTAATTAATAAATGATGGAAATTAAAGCAAAGTGAGGTTTAAGACAAGCAAAAAGACATTCCAATCAGTACATGCACGAAAAAATAATTCGGCGAGGCATAAAAAGTCATAAAGTGGTTGCCTAGAAAATCATTACAAATCATATCTTTTTTGTTAATTAAGATTATTAGCCCAATTAAAACAATATTTTTTTTAATACCCAAGACATTACTTCTCTGTCCCATGCTTTGTCTTAATGCCCCGCGATTTAGGTACTTTCTGCCTAAAATTCTCACTCTTCCCACCAAAAGAAACATAAATAAATACGTTATAAGTCACTATTACAACCTTGACTATATTTATGAGTTTACCTTATCGATATAATAATATACTTTTAAACTATTGAAAATACAATAAAAATATAGTACTTATATTTGATCTAATAAAACTCTCGAATTATTAGAAATAAGACAAAATACCAAGATAGATGAAAAAAAACCTTATTAGTAAGCATACTTCATCTTTAATTAAAAGTTGGGTTTGAGTCTTGGAATTAAGTTAATATTCGTAGAGAGTGTTTTATCCATCAAAGTGAAACTTCCGACGCAAATTCAAATTAGCTTAATTCCAAAATGAAATACTGCATCGGATGGTAAAGAAAAATTGACACTCTAAAAGAATTTTTAAGTATTAAGTAGTTTAATTAACTTCTTGTACATAAATAATGTTATTGATCCATTTTTTTTAATATATTTTTTTTTTACAAATGAAATGAATGAACCTCTGCTTTTCATTTTAGTATTTCAAGAGGCATTGTAATTTGATTTTGTCTGATAAATAATCCACTTTAGATTGCTTAGTCCATTTCATTATTAAAACAATTTGAATATATATATATTTTTTTGTTAATAATTTTTGCATTGTTGTATAGATTTAAGACGTGTAACATGAATAAGGATGTATGAAGTAGTTTATTTACATAACTATACCTTTTAATTTGACTTCAGCTTATATTAATGTCCTTCAACTTTGAATGTGTACAAGTAAATACTTAAATTTGTATAAAAATTAAACAAATAGACGCATTCATCCTACGTGACATTTTATATGACAAATTTGTGTCTTATGTGTCATTCTACATGTATTATGTCATGTAGAATAATATGTCTACTTGTTTAACTTTAAGTATCTATTTGCATACAACTAAATAGATGACATAGATATCAGCCAAAGGTAAACTAGAAGATACTATTTATATATTATGAAACGAAAGTTTAAAGAGAGTAAGAATTAAAAGAGAGATTCAAAGTAGGTGAAACCTCGTAGTCTCCGTCAAAAGAGATTTTGTATGAAAAGAACATATATCAGTTTCTAACTTACTGCTTGTGGCTGCTTCTCTTTCTGCCATGATTGGATTTCACTATGAACCATTACTAACCTTTAATCTTAAGCCAATTGTCTGTCTGGTGTCTCATATACTTCTGTCTTCTTATAATATAAATAATAATACTAATGTATTTACCTTTTCTACCCTTCACCCTAATTATGTACATTGGTTGGCCCCATCTCACTTTCATTTTCCCCTTTCACAAAATTCCAACTCCACTTGCATTATTATTCACCCAAAATGACCATAGCCTGTATGATATACTACATAATTCATACTTGTATTCCCCCCACCCTCAGATACATGACTTGACTCTTTTGGAAGAACATATACATATCAATTTGAAATGGTTTAACACAAACTCAATATATTTGTCGAACTTTTTTTTTTTGGATAAAAGAAAATTTGTTGTATTGAAACTCTAAACTTGGTTACTCGAATGAGCTGAGAATTTCTATTTTACTATTTGATTTATTACCGTATAAAAATAACTCAATTATCTATTTATCAATGCACTAGATTGTAAAAATTAACTTTTCAGTTTAGCAATGCATTTAATTAACAAAAATGCAATTCCATTGAGCCGGATGCTTAATACAATAAACACCATAAAATTCAATATATCCTTAATTTGAAGTACATGCACTACTAAAAAATCATTATTTTTCCACTAAAAAATGTTTAATGACTATTTCTACTGATTTGATTGACTAAAAAATGTTTAATTACTATTTCTACTGATTTGATTGAATCGGTCATAAAAGAAAAAATAAACAGTAATGTTTTTATACGGAAAAATAAAAACTTTTTTACTATTTGAGTGAAAAATTGTTTTCTACCATGTATTTTTCCGCGAGATGATTCGATGGAAAAATTATATTGTATAGAACAAAATCCTAATAATTCACGGTGAAGAAAACCTTTGCTTCAGTAGTGATACTCACTACTAATGATGAATGACCAAAGCATTTGTGACCAAGAAGATATTTTGGTAAATGATTTGAGTTTTAAATCCTTTAACAAAACACAAAACATATGTAGGGACAAAATCTTGAATTATTAAAAAGGGCAAAATAGGAAATTAACGACACATAATTGAGTTTATGGCCCACTTGCTCACACCATAAACCTTGTTAAAATCGTCCCTTTTTTCATCACTCTCTTTGAACCAATTTTCACAATTTCCATGGCTAACCTCTTCAAGATATATACACTTTTTCTATCCATCTTCCTCTTTTCTTTCACCATTTCTTCAACTTCAATCCATGACCTTCTCAGAAGCAGGGGACTCCCAGCTGGTCTATTCCCAAAAAATGCTGTAAAATCATATGATCTTGATGAAAATGGCCACTTACAAGTCTACTTGGATAGTCCATGTGTTGCAAAATTTGAAACAAGGGTGTTTTTTGATAGTGTTGTAAGAGCTAATCTTAGCTATGGTGGTTTAATTGGAGTTGAGGGTCTTTCTCAAGAAGAGCTTTTTCTTTGGTTACCAGTTAAAGATATCATAGTTTATGATCCTTCTTCTGGTCTCATCTTGTTTGATATTGGTCTTGCTCATAAACAAATGTCCCTTTCTCTATTTGAAGAACCACCTATTTGTAATCCTCAAGGTACTCTCTTTAATTTATTTATGTTAAAAAATCCATTCTTGATTAGTTTGTTATCTCAATCCTCTGTTTTTTCACTTTCCTTTTTGTTGGCGGAGTCGGTATTTTCAATAAGTTAGTTTGACCTTATTTATGTAGTGTGATTTGTGGCCTCTCTAGCTCTGCCACTGATCACAAATTTCAAAATTTTTTATTTTTTATTACTAATTGTATTGGATCTGAAATTTGTTGTGTTGTGCACCTAACAAAAGATGAATTTATATAGGAAATGCAGGTGTGTTAATGGAGAAGAAGGAAGGAGTCTGGAATTCAGATTGAAAGATACAAAAATTTTCCAGTCAGTGGAATCTCTGATTAAAAAAAATAAACTTTCAGTTTTGCTAGCTGTGTTCTTTGATTTTGGGTTTGATTGATGAAGGCTTGAAGCTTCAACAAGAGAGATTTGCAATGAGATTCTCAATTAGGTGCTTGTAGGGTTGTATAAAGTGGAAACTAACAGTATAAAGTTTTGGAAAGAGCAAAATTTTGAATTCTTCTTATTTATTTATTTTTTTAAAAATAATTCTTGCCTCTTGAAAAATTGATATACTACTAGCTACTAGTAGTACATTGTGTTATGATTAATTACCAAAAGCAGAGAAATATGGTGTGAACATATTTCAGTTTTTCCGACCTGCTCTGTCTGCCACAAACATTATTCTAATCTGACGAATAATCAAAGAATGACGGTCATGTCATTTCTCCAAAGTCATACTCCCTCTGTCCACTTTTATTTGTCATGTTGTGTTTTTCGAAAGTCAATTTGACTAATTTTTAAAGTTAAATTAGATTACGTTAATTCGATATTTTTAAAAAAAAATTAGATATTCAAAAACTATACGAAAAGTACTATAAGTTGCAATTTTTTGCATATCAATATGATGAAAATATACATCATAAAATGTTGGTCAAAGTTCTTATTGTTTGACTCTAAAAAAGGAAAACTTGACAATTAATTGTGGACGGAGGGAGTATATACTTCTAAAAACTGCATAACGTGCCATGTGAACCAAGGGTGGATGTAGCTTTCGGCAGCCAGTGAGGATATTAGACCGAGTGACGGAGTCAAATATTCAAATAAAAGGAATTTAAAATTTGTATATACATACATTTTTTTTTACTTTTATGCTATTAGTAGTACCGTATGATTTTTTAATGAAAGAGATTCAATTGAATCTCCATCCTTGGTTGTTGCTCCGCCATTGACACACCGCGCATAATCAGCCCATTGCATTATATTTGAATTAAATAGATATATCATAGAAAATTCAAACAAAACATGTTTATATTAAATTCACATTTAAATGGAAAAGTAAAAATTAATATAGTCAATTCCAACCTATTTGAGAATAAGGTATAGCTATTGTATGGGAAAATAAATATTGGTAATAGTGTATTACGTACGCTAATTTAAAATTTTGAATTCGTCTTTAATCATATCAAACTATACTCCAACTTCCATTTATATGTCAGGAAATGGAGTAGGATGGTCAAACTAAATTGATTCATGGTCCAAGCAAGGTATGGTCAAAGATAGAATTACATATTAATTAAGTGGTGACTCTAACTCATGGTTATTGTGCGTTGCTAAATTCCTATTAGTGAATTACCCGTGAGTCTTGGGATAAGGTCACACTAATGTTTTGTACACAGGAAAAAAAGAAATATATTAAAATATGTACTACCAATTTAATTTGTATCCATTTTTGCAGCAATGTGCATGATGAGGTTTTATTTTTGCATTGTTGTAATTGCATGACCTTATTATATGAATTATTATTATTACTATCATTATGTGGGACAACAAAGATTTGTGATCTTTAAGCTTGAATAGACCAGGGCGGGTCTGTAATCCATGTGTTAATATCAATTTGAGACTTTCCAGCAACTTGCCTTGGGGTCCACAAGTTTGGCCAGATAATTAATTTTGATTGAATATGAAATTTGTTAAGGAAGATTGTACTAATAAGTAATTATCACAATGGGTTAATATTAAGCTTCTTGAACAAAAGATCCTCCCTTAAATCAGGTTTATATATGCTATTGATTGATAATAATGTAGGTGGTTAGAATGGTGTTTAGTTTGTTCTGCACTCTCTTTTCAGCTTCCTATTTTTTGTCCTCTATTTACAATGGAGTGTACACATTTTCTATTATTGAAGTTTTGTATCCTTTGCTGGTGGTTAAAGACTTTTTTGTCCCTTGGCCTTAATAATGAAGGAGCTACGAGTTCATCCAAACTTAATAATTTTATGTTAAGAAAAATTCGTAGGTATAAATAATAGATTTCGAAATCAGTAAATCAGAGTGGACATGAGAGAATGTGGAATGAGATTTAAATGCTACTAGGTAGAATGTATATAATTTCATTATCCAGCCATCTAAAATGAGCAAAATCTTGAATCCTGTGTATATATTTGAATTGGAAACTAAAAGAAGTACAAAATTGAAAATGCTGTGCCTCATCCCTGACTATGTTGGTTTCTTTTTCGTGTGACTCGAATGTAAAAGAAAATGGAAGCAATAAGAGCAGTGGCGAAGCCGCCAAGGATAAAGTCTCCACCAGCCATGGACTTGTTGAAAGAATGATGAGTCCTTATATGTGTGACTGCTGGAGCTTGATCACCTCTTCCTCTGTCCATTCCTCCTTCAAACGGCGCAGGACTTGGGACTACTGTGAAGGTGTCTAGTTTTCTAAGCGCGTTAGCATTTTGCATAAGCAAGCTAACCTGAGCTAAAACTAGGCAAATGAGGAGAAAACTAAGCCTAGCCATAGAGAATATGAATATTGCTACAACTGTGTGCGCGTTTAGTCCTATTAATATAGACTTGAGAGAGTCTTTTTCGTGTTAATATTATAAGAAGGTAGGTAACTAGGTATACTACCCATGGTCTTAAATTTTGACGATTTGACGTCTGATTTGGTTTTTCAACTAGTCTTTTATTATTTGGATCCTTAGACCTGTTAAAGAAAGTTTTAACAAGGGAAGGTGATGCTTGAGGCAGGTTTATTTTCGGCTGTTCATTGAGGACGACATTGGTCAAAGAACAGAGAAGAAATCAAGAAAGACAGTGAAACAAATGTCCTGCTATATTACACGTCTAATATTGGTGTTTGTTCAATATCTTATTCAAACACATGTGCTGGCTTTTATTATTTAGCTGTTTCTTCAGCTGGATGGGATGGGACCAAAAATGTTATTTATTCAATGTTTCATATAGAGAAGCCAAAAAGTTTGGAGCCTGGATCCCACCATGGAAACTTCAAGTTAAAATGTATATGCTATTTCAAAGTTTGCCTCAGTTGAATTAAGTCAAACGTGACTGCATGAAATGCTATAGAATTAATATAGGAGAAAGTAATTAGTAACATATGATATGTTGCTTCATCAATATTTTGAAAGAAAAAACAAGAGCTCACACAAGCTCTTTTTTGGATACAATATTTCGAAAACATGATTGAATCCTTTTTTGACACCATAACTAAAAATTAGAGGTACTCTCCAATGAGACTTAAGCTATTAGGGGATTTCATGCTGGTGCTAGTAGATTCCGTGGATGATCTCCAGTAAGATCTCTCTGATTCGATTAGCTTCAGTTAGTCCACCTCGAACCACCTGAAACACATAGAAAGATTAACAACTTGTGTATGCTGTTATATTGCAGCACACACAGTACAAGGTGCTAAGCAAGATCTCCTTTTTGTACTATTACAAATCTTGATATCTTCGGGCAATAGTTTTTTTATCGCTACTAAAAACCTCACTTTTTTAACATATGTTTCTCCTACCTCCACAGATGTAGTAATAAGAATAGCTCCTTTAGAGGCAGTGGCACTGGTGTCATTAATATCAAATCCAAGAACATTCATTGCCTCCATCAGTTTAGTTAATCCACCTCTTTTCTTTTGGCAGACTATTTTTATCCAAAGCTTAGTTGGGCCAATGTGAGCCACTTGAACTTCAGGCTGTTTTAGAAAGAAAGACAAAAGTTGTTTTACTGTCCTTTTAATTCAAGAATACCAAAGATTGAAACTTTGGTTTTATACATAAAGTTACCTACCTCTATGCCCCATTTACCCATCTCCTCTGCAGTATCAATAATCTCTTCATTTTTTGTCTCCGGTTCCTCCCCATGAGTTGCCTCCATTTCAAGAAGCTGCTCACTTAGGTTGTCCACATTCATTTGTAGCTCCCTAATGTAAGTGATGGCATCAGTGATTATGGTTTCTTTAGTCATCTGAAATCAGACAAGAATTTAAACTTTTTTAGAATTAAAAAAAAAAAGGTTAAAAATTCATTCTTTATGAAATTATGTAAAGAATGAAGGGTTTTGATTCATTGCATTTGTTATGTTTGGGACCAATGAGCGTAATTGAAGAAGCCTTTCGCTAAGTTTTTGACGCCTATTTCTCTCAGCCTTAAGGTTCTTGGATTTGTATTCTTTAACTTCACCATCAATTTGCTTCCTTTTATCTGTTCTTCTTCCTACTTCCCTTTCTTCAGAGTTGTGTGAATTATCAAATGGGGTGTTGGGGGATTCCATTTTAGCACACCTAATTACTACCATTTAAAAGAGAATAGTTATAGTATGTTAAAATGGATTCCTAAATTAGAAAGGAAATCTATAGAGAGAGAGTATTGGTGCTAATGATTAATATGTTGAGTGCAGCTAAAAGAAGAGGCAGTACTGCACTGGTTTTTTGTTGTAGGCAGAGAATAGGTTTATATAGGTGCTCCTCACAACAGAAACATTTCTTGGTTGTGGGAATCTTCTTGTTGTAGTTTGTTGGGCATTTCCTAATTGATCACAATGTACTTGGGGTGTTTTGGAAGGACTCATTTTTGGCATGAGAAAGAGAGAGAGAGTGTGTGTAGAGTTTTGTAGGTTCAGACACTACAACCCTTTTCAGTTTTGGGCTAATTACACTTTTCACTATTGTTATCCCGAAAGAGATGAATTTAAACGGGGAATATGGTCAGTAAAGATTCACATACCCCAAGTTTAACTTGTTTGGGACTAAGTTGAACAAGTACTTTTTATGTTTACATACTAACTAGTATGCATATAACATAACAATGATTGAATGGGAACGGTGATATATATAGTGCCAACCAACTATGCCTCAATTCCAAAATAGTTGGAATCGGTTATGTATCCTCATAGTTTGATTATTTACGCCTAGTTGTCGTCTTACTAAAACCCTCCAACGTTATGAGGACTCGTAATAGGCCATAGGGTTAAAGAGTAACAGCCACCCGGGAAAAAAGAATTAAACAGAATGAAGAATAGAAGTGGGGTAATGTTCTTGTTAGTTATGTTTGTGACTACTTTGTGGTTTGTTACTGGCATTGTAAAGTACAAATGAGTGACCAGAGCTGCTTTAAGCAGGAGTTTTATTCTCCTTTCACTTTTTTTTACACCTGCCAGGAATAATTTCTTTTAAAGTACAACTTCATTAAAGCACTAGAAAGAGTTTATGGTATTCCAAGTATGTGTTTTGTACTTTAACCAGTCAAAAACCAAAATATGGTACAACAAGATACCTAGTGTATGTAGTCTAAGTCTAGGGAGGATGATGTGTACGTAGTTCTATCTAAAAATAACGGGAGATAAGATGATAAATTATTTTAATTGTATAAATATTTTTTTCACACTTATATCACAAATAAAAGTAGCACTACATGTCAATGCACACTGTCCATCCTGTCTAAAGAGGAGAAATTAAATACAAGTGCAGAATTATGATGCAACAACTTATAATTCTGGTATGGAAAAAGACCATAGGAGCCTTTTAAGTATCACATAAGTCCTTCGTAACATAACACCATAGAATAAGTTGTTGCAATCTATTGTACGAAATAATCAGGTTCTTTCAGCAATTATGCGATAGATTAACAAAGGCCAGATATAATTAAATATATTTTTTTCATATTAAATATAAAAATGGGGTATGTTATATGGAACTATATATATCTATTTCTCTCATTTCGAAAGTGCTGCTCAGCGCCAAAATAAGCAATCAAATGCCTACTTCTTCATCCCTCCGCTGCGTGAAAGGCATCTTCGCCGGAAAAGACAGAGCAATAAATCAGCCCATTACTTCTTCAAGACCCACCGATCGAGCCCAAGCAATTGTAGACTCTTTCAAAAAATCATCGGAATGCCCCAAATTCCGACTGAAACGCTTCCAATATGAAATCACCGTTCACCAACTTACCGAAGCCAAACACAAATCCGGCATTATAGATATCATAGAACATCAAAAAAACTATCCTGATATTCGTAACGAAGCGTTTGTTGCCCGTCTTATTCTTCTTTATGGCAAAGCGAAAATGGATCATCATGCACGTAAGTTGTTCGACGAAATGCCTCGACTAAATTGTCCGCGCACTGTCTTTTCCTTCAATGCCCTACTGGAAGCATATCTTAAATCAGAGAAATATGATAAAATCGGCGGCTTGTTTCGCGAATTGCCCCCGAAATTGTCAATTGAGCCTGATTTGGTGTCGTATAACACTGGGATTAAGGCATTGTGCAGGGCTGGTTTGTTGGATTCTGCTGTGTATTTGATGGATGAGATTGAAAATCATGGGATTAAGCCGAATATTGTCACTTGTAACACGTTATTAAAAGCATTTCATGAAAGCAAAAGGTTTTCTGAAGCTGAAAGTTTGTGGGCTATGATGGAAAAGAGAAATATTATCCCTGATCTTTGCAGTTACAATATTAAATTAACTAGTTTGGTTAAAGCTAAGGAAGTTTCAAAGGCGATTCAGTTCTTCGAGGAGATCGTTAACAAGGGTTTCAAACCGGATAATTTCAGTTACAGTGCTATGATAAAAATGTATGTTACTAAGGGGAATCTGGAGGAGGTCAACAAGTGGTATGAGAAGATGACGCAAAACGGATGTCTTCCGGATGTTTCAACATTAACGATACTTATTAGTTTTGCTTGTAGCGCCAAAAAAATTGATTTTGCTTTGGATTTGTGCAAGAAAGCAATGAATTCACGCAAAGCTATTCATAATACAATAATGCAGAGGGTTGTCAATTGTTTGGTTGAGCATTCTAAGATTGAAAATGCGAGAGAACTGGTTAAGTTGGCTGAGTCTTATAAGAGCTTTCCGTATGAGCTTTCCTTGCCTTTGCATAGCTAGTTTCTTTCAGCTATGTTTGATCGTTTACTTGAGCTGAAGTGATCAAGGGTTTGAGGAATGCTCTATACAAAATTTAGCTTGTTGCATTTAGGTTAAGTATGTTACATTTTGACTGTTAGTTAACATTCAATCAAAGTGTAGGATCTAAACATTTTTAAAGGATGCTGGTGCTGGACTTGTATAAATTAGATGCTTGCATTTATGTATCTAGAGATTATTAATGTTTGCATAATCTACAGAGTCTCACATGAGAATGCCAAGTATGTGAAAAGCAGTTGCAACGATTTTATTGTTATACCCCAAGGTAGTTTTAGGCCATTTAGAAGGGAAAAGGTATATGGATCGTTGGTGTACCTAGAATTTTGAGATGATCAAGCCTTGGTAGAATTAATTAAGGCGTACATTAATTAGTTTGGTACAACACGGTTATAAAAAAAGAGAAGAAATCACCTAAATAGCGAGTTTTACTAAGTGTTCTAATTTCAAATGACCACTACCTAGGTTTTTTAGTTTTCATTTTTAAATTCATGTCGGGATGATCAATTATAGAAGTCATTCATCTCGTAGGGAGTTGATGGAGCAGTATAGGAAGGGAAAGAGAGACTTACATATAGTGTTCATTGATGCAAAAGAAACACACAACATAGTCTATAGTTATATAAATTTGGGATTTCAATTTCAAGTTTTAATTTTAAGTCAACGTTTATTTATGAAATCTGCAAAAAAAATAAAATTTAACTCTAATTAAAAAGCCACGATTTCAAATTCCAAATTGAGTTGTCAATCGTTTTAAATGTAAAATCTGACACATAAAATTTACATTTTGCAAAAAAATATTTCATGCTCAAACACGAAGAAATTTGAAATATCATAGCTATGGAATATCTTTAAAAAAAAAACTTGGCTAGTTATCATTGTGACTAGTGGACCTTTGTAGAATTATGTGTCTACGAAAGTTTATAATAACACGTAGTCACAAATATTTATAATTTTCACAAGTTATGAATTTTTTTTTTTTTTTTTTTTTACCCCTCCTTAGGAGCTCCCACCCCTTTTGCTCCCTTGGTGACTCAAACTCGCAACCTTCGGGTTGAAAGTGAGGGTGCTTACCATTCGAGCAACACCCTCCCATCACAAGTTATGAATATTTTATGTCTAAGAAAAAAATATAATTTAAAACATTCAAATTTCATATTGGGTAATTCTAAACGGGCCTGAAAAGGAGCAGGCCTATATTCCTAAATGGATTAACCTCAGTTACGAAACTCCAATTCAACGCCGCTTCACATGTCTTCTTCTTCTTCCGTTTATCGCCGGCTTCACGGAATCTTCACCGGGAAACACAAAGTCAGTGTAAAGCTGAAAACTGAACAGCCCCAAACAACTTCCACCAAACCCACATCCAAACTTCCTGAAAAACATAAACTTCAAACCATTGTTGACAACTTCAAAAAATCATCTGAATCTCCTGAATTCCGAAACCGTTGCACCAACTATACGACCGCTATTCGCCGCCTTGAATTCAATTCTTCCGCTATCGAAGACATTTTTGAGCACCAAAAACAATACCCAGAAATTAGCAATGAGTTCTTTGTCTGCCGTCTCATACTCTTATATGGTACAGCAAAAATGCATGAACATGCCCGTAAACTGTTCGACGAAATGCCAAACCTAAAATGTCAACGAACAGTCTTTTCTTTCAATGCCCTTTTGGAGGCCTACTCAAGAGCAGAGAAGTACGATATAATCAGAGATTTGTTTCGTGAATTACCTGGGGAGCTATCGATAGAGCCTGATGTAGTGTCTTATAATACTTTGATTAAGGCATTATGGAAAGCTGGTTCTTTGGATTCTGCTCTCAGTGTAATGGATGAGATGGAAAATCAAGGAATTATACCTGATAAAGTGACTTTCAATACGCTTTCGAACGCATATTATGAAAGTAAAAAGTTTTCTGAAGCAGAAGATTTGTGGGTATTGATGCAAAAGAAGAATGTTGATGCTGACTTGGGGAGTTACACCGTTAGATTACAAGGATTGGTTGCGAATAGCCAGGTTAGCGAGGCGATTGAACTGTTTGAGGAGATGGGGAAGAAAGACATCATCCCAAAAGCTTTCAGTTATAACATTATGATCAAAATGTATGTGGATGATAGGAACTGGGAAGAGGCAAAAAGATGGTATGTGAAAATGGTGGAAAATGGACGTTATCCGGATAATGCAACATTTGAGATGCTCATTTCTTTTGCTTGTGACAAGGATAATCTTGATTTTGCGCTTGAATTGTGTAAGAAAGCTATTGCTTCAAAAGTTGCTATTTATAATGCAACAATGCAGAGGGTAGTCAATGTCTTGGCTGAGCATTCCAAGCTTGAAGATGCACAGGAGCTGGTGAACTTGGCCAAATCATATAAGCTATTCCACTCCCGACCCCGATCCCGGTATAAACTTTCGCTGCCTTCTCTTTAATAGTTACACATTTTATGCGGTAGTTTTACTTGCACTACTGTTTCTGCTGAACTATGTTTTTAGGATTTGTTTGTGAGTTTTATGAATTACCCTTCAAGATTGAAGAATATAAGGCTTGTGGAATGCTTCGGTTGAACGTATAAATATTTTGCTTATAGCAATTTAGTTCCATATTTACATATTAGCTACCAAATTACTAGTATATCATAAATCATAATGAATTCTAATGAAATTAGGCTATTTTAAGAATCTCATTCTGGGTTTTAGATTCATTCTTCAAAATATCTAGCAATCTCCAGAGGTAGACCTCTTTGCTTCCTCTAATTAATGTGCATTGCATAAAATTGCTTGCTGCGAACTGCGATAATCACCAGTTATTAATACTTCATCAAAACTCATGTTAAGCAAAAATAAGCAAGGCTTTTGCTGCATCACGTCACATTGTTCCAAAATGGGTCATTAAAGTACAATAAGTCAAACCTGCAGTTATGTGACGGGTTGGGCATGCTATTTTCAGCAAATATAAAACTCAAATCTCATTGTAGATCTTACATTGTCATCATTAACGTCAATGCGACGAAATAAACTTATGATCTTTTCGTGTTTATTCTTTTCTATAACTTGCCAGTGGTGGAAAAGGAACTCATAAAAATGATCCTTTATATTAATACCCAAAGTAGTACCCTTTTTTATTCTTAATTAATATCTTAAAAATGAAATGGCAGGAGTAATACTTTTTAATTTGTCATGAAAAAATCTGTGTATTGCTCTCCATCAATTCACATTTTCAGCATGAACATATATGAGAATTCTATTGTTTTAAAACAAGAAGAACTTCAGATTCTACTACTTTTTTAAAACTAACTTAAAAAATAGATTTATAACACTTATTAGAATGGAGAAGAGTACATATGCTAAGAATTATTGATGTGAATAAACTAACTTAAGTGAAAACCAAATGATAGGGTCAATTATTCGTGTTATGCTTGAGGGAAATAGGTACTCCTATAGGTAAGATTTTTCATGGAGCCATAGAACTCAATGATGTGCTCAATCGTGAGTCTCCATCTGTGTTGCAAAAAATTGACTTGATATGCTCTTCTAGGACAGGAAGGCAATGATTCTCATCATAAATGTACATCATAGGAACCATTCTGGCCACGTTGAGACAAGCCTTTTGAAAGGACAATGGAATTGCACTTGGTGAGAGGCACTGTTTATTGACATCTTTCTATGTGTTTGAAACCATGTCCAGAACATGTTGCCTTGCATCTTCATTAGTTAGGCCCTGCTCATCTTTCATCAAGTACTCTACTTATGATCCATCGTTCCCTTTTTGATGCTCATCCTACCAAATATTAGAACTACGTATTAGAACAAAAGTTGGATGATGGTTAACCCATCACCAACTCAGTTGGTGAGACACCTCCACTTAATCAGTACTAGCAGAGACAACCATTAGAAAGCGACCCACCCTTCATCAACAAAAAAAAAGGGACACCCCTTGCCAAAAGATTTCCCTCATATATGTGTATACCCTACCTTTGCGGGGCTGAGAAACTTTTCTTATAGTCCCTCAGATCCAAAGAGATGATATTTGAAGTATGGTTGCACGAAAAATATGAAAACAAAATATCAAGATATAAAACAAATGAATCAACACATAGTAACACCTTAACACCTTGAAGGATAAGAAAATACAGGATTACTAAATACTACTACTAATAAGGCTGTGAGAAGATGGGGTAGCCCTAGCCCCCTTCCTCTTCCCATCTAAAGGGCGACAACACTCGGCTATCTACTACTTATACCATAATTTGCCACTTTCACATCTTCCTATATCTAGGGTCATGTTCTCAATAAGTTGAAGTTGGGTCATATCCTGTCTAATCACCTCTCCTCCCTGTTATTCTTTGGCCTACCTCTACCTCTCCTAGTTTCTGCTATAGCCTACCTCTCATGTGCACGTCCTCTTCACATGCCGAACCACCTCAGCCTCACTTTCCTCATCTTGTCTTCCACGGAGGCCATTCCCACCTTGCGTCGTATAACTTCATTCTTAATCATCTCTCTCCTAATATACCCTCACATCCATGATCCATCTAAGCATCCTCATCTCTGCTATACTCATTTTCGGAACATGAGCATTTTTTGGCCACTTTGTAGAATAACAAGAGCAAATATTAAGTGTATCGGAAACAACTTCTCTATCCCGTAAAAGTAGATGCAAGGTTTGTACATATCTTACGGTTTCCCTACCCCACTTGTGGAATTACACTGGGTATGTTGTTGTTAGTAAAGCGCCAAAACTTATATAATCCTAGACATTTACACTCAAACTAACTTGTAAGTTGAATTGTGACAATATAGGCTACAAGTGACATAAATCCTGCATATGCCATTACACTTAATAATCAGTAATACGAAATTCAAATTAAATGGAGGTAAGTGAAGAACCACTGTTGATCTCTTTGGAGTGGGGTGCGTGGAAAGTAGAAAAAACACTAATTTCAAATTGGAAACCATTACTA